TTATTTTAACTATAGACACGCCTAGGAGTTTAATTTGATTACAGAACTATAGACAAGCCTAAGAGTTTAACTTGATTATACTAGGCCAGCCAACCTTAAGTTATCCAAGGTAGTTATGTGCCATCAGTAATCAGAATTATGAAAGTAGACGATTGATCCACCCTCTTTAAAGAACAACCGACCGATTTGTCACGACCAATATGAAGACACACATTCAAATAAGTGCATTATAAACTATTTAGTCCGAAAATTCTTTACTCAGTGTGTCTTTCGTTCATTTGACCACTCAACATTTTAAATAAAATAAAATAAAATTTGACAACTAGAGATTAGATCCAATGCATCATTGATCAACTAATGTGTAGTAGGAGTCATTGCTAATTAAAAAATATTCTATTTCTGAATTGGTTCGAAACTCAGGAGTATTTCAAAATTAGTGGATCACAATTTTGACGGTTACAGAAAACTTAGAGTACTAAGTATTACATCAACTCCTCTTACTATGGCAAAATCAAAATATACAAAGTGATGAATCGTTCGATCTAAGTTGTGTTTTGAATTTAAGTGTTCACGAACAAAGCTTGAGTTTGTGTGTAAGCTCAGGTTCGGGTGGAGCTAAAATAATTTATATATTGAATTGATAGTTTAGGATGCACAATGTTGGAATGTAAGCTATTAAATAATCTTTACACAACCGTAAAATCATCTAACCAAACCGTTAAAACCATGAAATATCCAAGAAATCAGTGAGTTAATTGTCATCATTAGGTATCCACTAATTGCAAATAGGACCATAATTTCTCAGATTATTCAAGCGGGCCGGCAGGATGAAAATATGAAATAGAAGAGGGGCCTATGTAGAAATATTGAATGATTTTGGGGATTTGTCGGACACATGACCCAATTCTCAAATATAGTTAACCCGTCCATCTTCGTCAGATTCAAATCCGCTTCTCTCTCTCTCTCTCTTAAATAATCATTTCTCCATTTTATTTATATCCTACTCCTAAACCTCCACAGACATTGTTCCCGGGATTCTTTGGTGTTTAGCAAAATTGAGCTCCAGATAACAGAAAGCAAAATCAATGGAGGCCGGATACAATCCTAGAACTGTTGAAGAAGTTTTTAGGGATTTTAAGGGTCGAAGAGCTGGAATTGTCAAAGCCCTTACTACAGGTTCTCTTCCTCTTCTTCTCCATTTTTTTCTTTCTCCGTTGCTGGTCATTTTCTGTCTGTTCTATTTTAGTTCTCGTTTCTTATTTCTTAACATGTGGCCTTTTGTTTTGCAGATGTTGAAGAATTTTACCAGCAGTGCGATCCTGGTATTCTTCATATATATATTAGCACTACTCTTGTTTTCTGTTCATGAGTTTGTTTGCTCCTAATTTTTGTTATTTGTGATTTTCGGTAAATGTTTGAAGTTCATTCCATAGTAATTAAGAGAAATAGTGTTTAAAAATTTTCCTCTTTAGACTAAGCATTTTTTACGATATATTTAGGATGAACCAAGTTCGTTAAGATTTTAAATTGTAAGGATACTACTTTTATTTTTTTGTATTATTTGCTTATCAGTTTTGGCTTTCTTATTTATTGAGTGAATAATTTGAACAAGAGCAACGCAAATTTATTTGTATGCCAAAATAGTGTCTTGCGTGTAAGGATTATAATATGCAAAGCAGGTAATAGGGCATTTATTACCCATCGTCGACTGTCATCGTGTGGGTCCTTTATTACGAGTCTTAGCTGCAAAATTGAACGCTTAAACTTAGTTGCATTGTATTTAGTGTGATTCGTTGCATGTTTTTTGGAGTTGATATAATGAGCTGTAACGTGTACCATTTCGCTATCTCGTATTTACAACTTTTGAATTGTTTTTTTGTTAAAAAAATATCTTGTTTAGTTTGGCACTTATTTAAATTTAAAATTTGAGCATCATTATCTTCGCTAATTGGTATTTTTAATATGCTTAGGGGAGTACAATGTATATTTACTTGTCAAGGCCAATGAAACAGACAAGTACACAACTATATGTGCACCTACTTTGTCCCATTTTTCTATATCTTATTCGTATTAAATCGTCTGGGACAAACCGATGTTTCCTTTTCTATTCCTTGTCAAGATTATGTTGTAGGGTGACGAGTCTGGCATCTAGGTTGGTGGTTGAGAAATTTACCTGGAATTTGATTCCTTTGTAGTTTTGGGTGAACACACACATATATATATATGCCCATTGGATGCCACTAGGTTTGCTGTCTTATTGGAACATTTGACAACGGTTGTGTTGGCAGTTATACTTTTTGTCCTATCTTCCATAGAGGTCGAAAGTTGTTTCTAGCATTTGGAGATATCGTGCCATAGTGAATGTCACACAGGTCTTAGTTTTGTTTGGGCAAAGAATGTTGGAGATATTGCACTTATATGCAGATTACTGTTCTTGAGAAATTTGTATAACATATTAACATGTTGCGTTACGATAACCATTTATGTTTGACAGATAAGCTTAATGCTCTATGATTTAGTTAACAAACAATACTCAAAGTCTTTTTGTAGAAGTCTATATCTTTAGTGTAAATTGCCTTTGTTCGGTTAGATCATCCTTGTTTAAGTATGTTTTTCCTCACCATACTCTAAGCATGTTTCCTTTTTCATATTGGTTAGCTCTCTGGCAATAAATCTATGAGTTGGAACTTTTTAATTGTTTTAAGATATAACATATAAGATGTATTGAACCTCCGTATTAACTTATTCATAATTGTTTGGGTTGCAGAGAAAGAGAATCTATGCTTGTATGGATTTCCTAGCGAGCAATGGGAGGTGAATTTGCCAGCTGAGGAAGTACCTCCTGAACTCCCTGAGCCTGCTCTGGGCATCAACTTTGCTAGAGACGGAATGCAAGAAAAGGACTGGCTATCACTAGTTGCTGTCCACAGTGATACTTGGCTGCTTGCTGTTGCCTTCTATTTTGGTGCTAGATTTAAATTTGATAAAACTGACAGGTAGATTTATTTTTTTTTTTTTTTTCTCACTTCTTTCACAATTTACATTTCTTAGTGTCGCTATTTGTTGTACAAGCCTGTATTACTGAGTATTTTCGTGAACACACCCACACATGGATAAAGAAAAATGATAATAATAATTTTAAAAGACAATACTACAAGTGTGTTGATTTTTTATCTTCAAGTTTGTGTGTAATATGTAAAAACAAATGGTCACACTGTCACAGGAAAAAAATTGCATTTTGTATGACTTTGTTTGTGGTTAGTTTTAGGGAGGTTTGTTGGTTTTGGATTCCTGTTCATTGAAACCAACTAGTCAACTATGCAGATGCATATGATTCATGCCCTTTTCTTTTACCTGATATTGTTGATACCTTTCCACGTGTAGCTTGCTTGAACTTATGTTGAAGTTTTGTACTTGTATAATGGCCTTTGCATTTGGTGCAGGAAGCGACTATTCAACATGATCAATGACCTCCCTACTGTGTTTGAAGTCGTGACTGGTGCAGCCAAGAAGCAGCAGAAAGAGAAATCTTCAGTCTCAAATCACAGTAGCAGCAAGTCTAAGTCGAACTCCAAATCAGTATGGAAAATGGGTTCTCAGTTGGTTATTTTATTTTTTATGCCACTTATCCCCTTTATTTCTCGCAGAATAACTTTCCACTTAGCAATCAATCTAAATCTGATCCAATATCTTATTTTCTATTTCTTTTCTTTTTTTTAAACAAAATATTAATTTAAATTCGATATACCAAATTGACAAATATCAATTTTATAAAGTAATACCCGATAGAGAACCTGTGTGTTTGTTATATCTTAAAGGGGTATACTTGTATTTGTGAAACTAAACATTGTATTTATTAAGGATAATAGAAAAAAAAACTGGGGTTTGGCTAATTATGAAAAACTCGGGAATTTTCACAACTACAAAAAAGTTACATCCAATTCTCCAAAGTTTCTCCATTTGTGTGTCACTGAAAAGAATAAACATTGCAATTAGGCTATGCATCAATGATAGTTTCTTTTCATCATCCTTTTTTCTTATTTTACTGTCACTAGCGAGCATCTGAAACTCAGCCAAAGATTCCAAAGCAGCCACAGCCGAAAGACGAGGATGAGGACTTGGATGAACACGAGGAAGAAGAAAACGAGGAAGAGGAAGAAGAGGATGAGCATGGGGACACATTGTGCGGCGCTTGTGGGGACAACTATGCTTCGGACGACACTTTCTGGATATGCTGTGACATATGCGAGAAGTGGTTTCACGGCAAGTGTGTCAAAATTACCCCTGCAAGGGCTGAGCACATCAAGCAGTACAAATGCCCCTCATGCAGCACCAACAAGAGGGCACGCCCGTAAATGTTTGTGGCGAAAAAAGAAAGAGCTCGATTTTTATTCGTCCTGGCCAATTAGGTTTATTGTTTCTTGTTTGACGTGTTGCGTATGGTTAACTAGTGTTGAAAACTGTGAATGGATATGGATAATTATGGTCGGGTTTGGTTTTGACTGTTTTGGTGGTACAGTTGGTATTTGTTTGTTTAGTTGGACTACATTTCGTTTCTCTTTTCAAATAGGTGTTCTTTCTTTTTCATGATCTGGTTCAAAATTATATATTTTGCTTTTTGTTGAAATGCATTGTAGTGATGTGTGGCATGTTAGAAGTGCTTGCAAATTTTCTGGGATAAGCAAATCAGTTTAATCTATTTGGCTGCTTGTTTTGTATATTCGTGATTCAGTTTGCAGATTAGTTCTGGTACGCAAAACACTCCGACCGGCTTGAAATCGGTTCGCCTTTCTCTTCCTCGCCGGTAGAACGCCGCGCACTTGCACAGAATTCTCACACCGGAAGGGTTTTCCGGTGAAGAGTCTCTGATGCTTAAGTCAGTATATGTTTGTTCAATTTTCAAAGTAAAGAATGGATAAATCGTAAGTTCCACAAGAAAAGACCCACTCCTATATATATAGGAGCGAGATACTTGCCCTAGGAGCTGCCCGGATTTTGGTGAGCTGTCCTACCCGCGCTGCTCATCCGTACACACACAGTGTGCGTGTGTCAGAGATGTCAGAGGTGGTTATCGCCACTATTGCTATGCACCAATGCACTCTCGCCACGTGTCTCTCTGAGTGGAGGGAGATTATTCTTCTGCGCTTGTCGTTAGGATCTTCTAACGCCACCCACGCTCGCGTTCAAGCCACGCTCTCGACTGCTCTTCACCTGTTGAGTGCTCGATCTAATCGAGCCCCCATCGCTAAGTCGATCCTCGACCAGTTCTGCTATTCTGCTCGATCTCTTCCCTTTTGGTCGATCATCCGTCGACCAATGCGGTTTTCTCTACTTCGAACTTGCCTGACCGATGTGGTAGACCGGTCTATTCTTTAGTTATATTATATCCCATATCAAGTTCCGAACAATGTCACTAATAAAAAGCAGCGTTCTTGTTAAACAATCTGTTTCATCAAATGCTAAACGTTTCAGGCAGAATGTATTGTTTTTTTCTGGTGCATATTGCGACTCAAAACGAACCCGCAATAAGGGTAACATAAGCTCCCAAGTCGATAGGCAATGAGGGCAAAACTAGAGACAAATTTGTGGAAGTTGCAACTCCTTTCATTTCTCGTTTCTCATACGTGTATGCCATGCATGAAACTATCATACAGAACAATTCCAAGTCCACGAGAAAAACGAATGGGCGTGTTCATGTGACAGATGAAAAGAAATTCTACTGCCGAATAAAAATGCACAAACATAGAAAAAAAAAACAAAAACAAAAACAAAATAACGACACATTTGCACGTTCAAGGCTTGGTCTTGAACTTCCTTCTGGACTTCAAATCGACCACGATTACAGAAATATTATCTCGGGTCCCTTCTTGAAGGGCGAGGTTGCATAGGTACTCGGCCGCGTCCTGCGCCGCAGGATCCACCCCTTGGCCTCGGTTTTGTAATGGATTTGTGCCGTTCTTTTTATGCCAGATTAGGATGCGTTTTCTTGCCACTTGGCATGCTTCCTCATTTGACATCACGTCCCACAGGCCGTCAGTGGCTAGGACGAGGCACTCGTCTTCTTTGGCCCGTGGCACAAGCATCACCTCTGGGTCGGGTATAATCCAGGGCTTCATATATTTGTCTCCTGAGGAAAAAAAAAATAAAAAAATGAGCAGTGTTCAAAGGTTTAGTTTGCATTATACCATAAACACTGTGGTGAGTTCACACCCATNAAAAAAAAAACAAAAAACAAAAAACGAATTGGCTGAACAAAATGAATGTCAAGGAGGTACTCATAGTACACTAAGGGAGAAATAAAATTCAATTTTTTTTTTGTTCTTTATCTCCTATAATTTGGCTGGAAACCTGGAAAACGGGTTCAGTTAAAGGGTTGAGAAAGGCAAAATCGAGGAACAGGAAACACTCCAGTCTGAAAATAACCAGATCACCTTCACACGCGCATGATGAACATAATGCATGTTTACAGCCACAACATTATGCCTATACATACATAATAATAAAGCAAAAACCTACCAATAGACCTCGACATTGCAAGGACACCAAGAACTCGAAGTCCGTTCCACTGCATGATCATCCCACCACAACCCACGATCCTATCATATTCATCCTCCCTCGTTGGCTGCAAAATTGTTCAAAATACAACACAAACAACAATATTTAGCTAAAATACGAGCCTCAATAGAGATCAATAGACCAAAATTCCAATTACTTTCCAAATTTCTCGAATAGCTATTACAAATGAGTTCCCCAAGAAAGATGAATTAGGTCCTTGGTAATTAGAGTAAACCGTGAGTGCATCTTTTCTAATTAGTGGTGACAGAGAAAAGAAAAAAAAAAATCAGCTCACTTTGTGATCGACGGATAATGGGATAGCTTCTTTACCACGGTAAAGGACAGCCCTTGAATCCCCGCAGTTGGCAACTATGATATGAGACGAACACACAACTGCAACAACAGCCGTTGATCCAACAGTTTGGGGTGCAATTGGATCATTGATCCCATCTCCTACTATTTCTTCATCGACTTTCAGAAAGCAGCTCTTGAACACTTCTTCCCACTGTGCCTGCCTAGTGTTCTTCATTCCATTCGCTGTTTCGTTTTCATGATTTTTTAACTCCTCAGCCAAAGCCCCATGAAGACGGTCTCGACAGTAATCTGCAACCTATGAAAATGAATAATTGAGAACAAGTTAGCTGTTGCAAAAACATATTTTAAAGACTCGTAAGAAAAAATGAACTTAGAGATTTTGGTCTAGCTAAAAATTTCCGACAAATCTCTCGGAGATATAAAGGCTATGTTTGGTTAAAAAATAAGCTAGCTTATAGCTCATTTGATTAGCTTATAAGCTTTCTGTATTCAAATAAACTTCATTTGGTATGAGTAGCTTTTTTAAAAAACTCGAGCTTATCTCATAAGCTTCGTTTGGTTTGACTAGCTTTTTTAAAACGCTCGAGCTTATCTCATAAGCTTCTTTAGGTAGCTTTTCAAATAAGCTCGTTGAAATTTTTATATTAGCCAGCTTATCAACTAATTTACCAAATACTTTTATCATATAAAATTTCAGCTATAAGTCATACACTATAGGCTTTAACCTCGAAAATCACTTATAACTTGTAAGCTATAAGCTCGAAAATCATTTATAAGCTATAAGCTAGCTTATCAGATAAGTTAGCTTTACCAAACATAGCCAAAATAACCCTGTATTTGCAAAATGCACCCTTAAATGGGAATTCATTTTTAAGCAACCAGAAATCTCAAGTGGGCATTTTTGCCATTTCAATAATGACACGACTCTCTTGTAATTGAACATCCAGAGGACTTTGTCGATACTCTAAAAGGAACAAAATAAACTTAGAGAACGTTACTTAGAACCTAGCAACACTCGTTTTCGTTTTTTATGGCTACATAATATATCAGAATGGAAAAGTGAACATGCACATAATTAACAATAAACCATATATACAAATATATACCTGAGATCCACCATGCCCATCATAAACCCCGAAAAAATGAGAACGCAGATGACTTAAAGTCCAACTTATCCCATTAATCCCCATCTCATCGGCAAACATCTTGATCGGTATCCTCATGAAATTAGGTTTGACCATAACAGCATCCTCCATCTCCAATCGGTGGCCGCAAATAGAAACCGAGCCCCAAAGAGGGACACAATCCAATTCAAAAACACTCTTAGCAATCCCTACTTTGGTGGTGGGCCCATTATCTTTTACCAACGGCATAGAAACTAAGGAATCTTCTAAAGATAGACCGTTAGGACACTCATTGGTGGATATTGAACTCCGTATGATTCTTTCATCTGGAAGAGTCTTGCTATTTTCACTGTCCTCGATCTCAACAGAAACCGGCAAGCTTACATCTGAACTAGTATGGAGGGGTATTAATTCACTTCCTCCAAGCAAGGTAGCTGTTTGTCCCACTAGGTTGAGTCGCGTGATTTCTAACTGGCGTGAAATTCCCGGATTTTCACACAAAGAAGTCGCCAAGCCAAGCGTGACCCCCAAAGGAGATATTTCTTCCATCAGTTGTATGACTTAAAACAAATGCTTAATTATCCCGTCAAATTTATTCAGATTCGTTCAGTCAAATTACGTTCAGCTATTTCATCTCAACTACAAAATACAAACTTTCGACTGAAAACTAGTAGTATAGTACTAAGATATCTTCTGAAGGGGCTATTAACCGGAAAATACTGAAAAAGGCGAAAAAAAAGGGACCACTACAAGATCAAAGATCCAAATACACCAGTTATCAAAGAAATCACTCCACTAGTATCAGTATCACATTTGATCCATACGGAATGATGGACATCATGCGATCTATTGAAGTCAGATAAAGATGTAACAAGCTTGGATTTGTTATCATATATCTTTTCAATAAAATTCAAGTTCGAGAACTTGGCATCTAAAATTTCCAAATCGATGCCTTTCCAGAAAATAGCCAACACCAGGAATACCAAATCACATTCCAATGGCAAACCTTATATATATGGTCATGACGCTATAGAACATGACAAAAGAAGAAAGAGAAAAACTGCCTTATCCATAACTGCAAGAAGAGAAACCAAGAAAGAACCTAGGAAAAAGGAAAGCTAAAAAGCTCAAGATTCATAAGGAAAACCTCAACTTTTTGACACATGTAATTTGTATTTCGTGGATCTGAGGTAACCCTTCTCAGCCTCTCGAAGTTATGAATTTCTCTATTTTTCTTTTGCTTCTTCAAAGCATACCAAGCAAATCCAGTCTTTTTCCAACAAATCTCGCCTAATACGATTACGAATCAAACTTTTTTTCAACAAATTCTCGATAGTGCACCAAGCTGCAGCTTTCGAAGAACAAGATGGGTTATTACTATTCCATCAAACAACACATCTTTTCAAAAGTTTCTTACATTATCAACTGAAAAGGGCTCAAAGTAGACTCGGTAATAATTACGCTGCCTTGATTTTATATTTCGTTTCTCCTTTTCAATTTCCCTTGCTGAGCTTTAAGAGAGAGAAAACCATGCGGACACGTGTAGACTCAATTCTCTCACTATATATAAAATGACTTAATAACTTTAATTACATTAACTTTATACGTCAGCCTGTCTTCATTATTTATAAAACAAACATTTTAAGGCAAAAATAACTAAATATTTACTAAATTGGATAAAATAACAGGATTAAAAGTAAAATATGAGGCAAAAATATGGGACTTACACGACAATTTAATATGGCATAAATATGTAATTTGGTGAATTTCTAAAGATAAAAAGGACATTTCACAAACCAGTTTTTGAACAAAATGGTCATTTGTGTGGTCCGATTAAATTGTCTCACCCTAAGACCGAACAAAATAATCCTGTCAATCGTTCATAAAAGTGTGGGACCCACTGGACACATTAGCTTGTTATCCAATCTCATCATGGTTACTAAATGTTGAATAACAGGAATTATTCAACCATATCCTATCCTATTAGCTTAAGTAAGAGGCAAAAGGTTACACGGGGGTGTTATGTAAAATAAAATGAGAATGTGATGGAATATAATTCATAACTCGAAAAATTTTGAGTTCTCAAATTTAACTCAATCTAGACTCTTCTAAATATTATCCATACTAGTATTCCACCTTGTGCATTTGCACAGATGTAAATAAAATTAAATATTATAAGTTATATTTATGTATATAATATAAAAATTATAAGTTATATAATTGCATTATATTTCAAACATATAGTATTATAAGTTATATTTATATATATAATATTAAATTATAAATTATATAATAGTATTATAATATAAAATTTGATCATTGGTTAAAATAAATAGTACACACGATTTGATTGTATACGAATCACTATATTGATTGCATAAAATGCAATAAATATATACTTTTTATAATTTTGAGTGATCATGACCAATTAATTAGCTGAAAAATATTACATTTATTATAACAATTGCTTATGTGATTTTAAGAAATTTTACTATAACATATAAAAAATTAGTTTATTAATAAACAACATCTTCATCATATTAAAAAATATTGATTTTAGTGTAAAATATAATTTTATGTAACTTTCATATACTATTTAGTATAAAATATAATTACTAATTTTAATCTTAACAATTATATTATTCATTAAAAAATATAATTATTAATCAATTAACATAAAATATAATGATTTTTGTCTTAATTAACCCAAAAAATGTAATGAAATATTTTTTTATTAATGAGATTGGGTGTATTAATGCCACATAAATAAAATTTATTAGGTTCTATTTATTAGGTTTTATTAATGATTTGCCACATAGGTAAAATTTATTAGGTTTTATTTATTAGGTAAAATTTATTGCTTAGCTAGCAATTATATATATATAGATAATTAAACAATGTCAATCAACTATGCTTATACATCACGTCAATTTTAATTCACTATTCATCCACTTACATAATTAAGGCAAATTGCATATTAATATACCGCCTTTCATTTTTTTACAATTTGTCACCAACTTTATAATTTAACAATTTAATAGAGCACATTTACTATATTTGTAAATTGAATCATGATTGACGACTCCAGTTACAAAAATTTATTTCCGTCAATGTCATGTCAAATTTTTGTAACAGGAGCCATCAATCACGATTCGATTTATAAATATGATAAATGTGGTGTATTAAATTGATAAATTACAGATGTGGTGATTAAATTGCAAAAACATGAAATGTTGTGTATTAATATGCAACTTTGCCTATGTCCATGTTTATTGCTATTAATTATTTAATGTGTATTGTATTTATTTATGGGATGTGTATATTTTATGTGCATAATATTTATTTATAGGTGTGCACTTTAGTTGTCTAATATGCATGCTAATTAATTAGTTGCTTATTTCATATACAAATTAATTATTGTAATTGATTAGTTGTTTTATTCACATTGTAATTAATTATGGAAAATGCATATTGATATGGGATAATCGTACTGGTCGACTAGACCTGGAAAACAGCAGAACCGAACCGGATGAACTATCGGGTCGAATGGAGAATGAAGACTTCGCAGGTCGTCAGATCGAAGGGGATGTCAATGATACGAGAACACCAGCAGGTCGAGTTAGGGCACTCGGATGGCCTGATTGAAGTTTGACTTGAAAGTACATTTGGTCGAAGGATCGATCAAATGGGCAGAGCAATATAGCTTGATATCTGTGGCACTCTACCTCGAGGTAATTGGAGTCGGTTGCATGGTTAATCAGTCTAATGAAGAAGACTAAAGGATAAAAATGACTATTATGGAATTGAACTACCACGTGGATAGGGCCGCATAGCCAAACGGAATTGAATCGGGCAGTTTGGGCAATTCGGGTAGTACGGACAATATAAACGGACAATCTAAGCAACTCACGAGAGCATGCTTGAGCAATAAGGTATCATCTCCCTATATGAGGGAGTGAAATATACCCAAAGTTACATTACATTTGTAAATTAGATGTAGCATAGTTAAAGTTGTTCAAACTTCCTCGAAGCTAATTGAAAGAATATTACAAAACACAAAACAACTTATAACCATTAACCAAATTAAAGAAATGGGTGAAGCAAGCAAAAAAAAAAAAAGCTCTTTAGAAGTAAAGACCGAAGTAGGAGTGAGAAAAATAATAGTCGTCAAAAACAAAATGCCCTTTCCCCTCAAATTAAGGAGCAAATAGTGAAAAGCATTTGGTCAAATACTCGCCAAAATTACACACTAATCATAAAGCTCGCTTCCTTTTTTCTCCCCCCACCGCCGGCAAACGCCCTTGTGTTGCATGGCTGTGCTACCACGGTAGCGCGGAGGAGCAACCATCTTACGGCGGTGGTCGTGCGCCGCTGCCACCTCCGGCGGCGTCAGATTGTGAGAAGGAACGAGGTTTGCGGTTATTGATGGCGAATCAGGTGGGAGCAATTTCGCCCGATCAGGAAGGGATGTGTAATCTCACGGCGGTTGCGATCGACAGGGACAAGAACAGCCAGCACGCTGTCCGGTGGGCCGTCGAGAATTTGGAGCTCAAGGACAAGTTCATCATCCTCGTACACGTCGTCAGCACCCAGCGAAATTTGCATCACCGTAGGTATTTCTAGCATTTGATTGCTTTATTTTTGTGATAGGAAAGGAAAATGTGCGATCTTTACATGGATCACAAATGTATTGGAAGCGTAGAATAACCAAGCTATTAGTGGGGTCAAGCCGAAATTTTGGAAAGAAAAAGTAAAATGTCAAAGATTTCACTGGAAAAAACTGGACCTTATTTGGACATGTTATCTTATTTGGCCAAGAGTTAAAATGTTATGCCCATTCATCTCTTCCAAAACATAAAAGACATAAAAAAAAATATATATATATATATATATGTGGTTCAATTTGATCCATTAGCCACATTGTCCCAAAGGTGGGAAGGGAAGTTCTGATGTTAAGAAGAAAATGTATATAAAAAAATTCAAGCATATGCCTTAATGATGTATATATCTATTTTTCTAGTTTCATCTTTCTGAATATAATTTCTTAGAATGTACAAACATGTTATGTATATACATTTTGTGAGAGGATGGGGTTGTTAGAGGACCTCTTTGTAACCAAGGTCTGGCTTGTGGGCCCTACGCCTGCGGCCTGCCCGTGAGTTGGCAACAATGTGTGTCTTTTGAACATTAGTGGAGATAGAAATTGTCGATGCATTTTGTCTTATGATATCTTGTCATAGTTTTTATTCTTAGGATCATTTTTTTACCCTTTTGCAGAGGATGTAGAGCCCCGTCCACCGACTCATACTGAATTGCAACAGTTATTCCTTCCTTACCGTGGTTTTTGTGCTCGGAAGGGGGTAATTCTAAAGAACACTTATTTTTCCGTAATTTGGATTTTCTGCTGTTATTTTGTGTTTTTTTGTGAGCTGATGCATATTTATTTATTCACCATACTGCAATCTGATGGTTGCCTTTTGTTGTTTTTGGCAATTCTGAATGAGCATATGATATAAAATGGGGACAATATTAATCTTCAGTTTGTCGAGAGCCTGAGACTGCAAATTTTTTCGTAGACATGATCATTGAAGCATAAATACATGTCACTAACAAATTGTGGCTAGGCTGTCTATTAAAATTGTTCCTCCTTGCATATGTGTGTGTGCGCATATATATATCCCTCTCTTGCTCTTCACATGTGTGTACTAATTAGGCAAAGAAAGAAAACAAACAAGCTATGCCCCACTAATTGTTTTCTTGGTAAGTTGTCCTTTCTCTCCTATATGGCATGCCTGAAATAGTTATTAATTAGGTTTGGCAAACAAATCAAGTTCTTTCCGTTTACTTTTATGCCCCCTTCTAGGAAATACTGGATCTGCTTCTATGTAAATATAGTTCTCACTGAAGGTTGGGCTAATTGCAAAAACTCCAGAAGTTACCCAAAGTAACCAAAAATATTAAAACCTTGGAGTTGAGTTGACTCTGTTGTAAATGTGAAGGGAAGTGCTTAAAAAGTTTTGGCTTATCTTGGGGTAAAAATAAAATGTCATCTGGAGATTAAACTGCATGTAGGTTCTTTGTAATTTTAAAATGTTCTCTTTTCTTTTCCTTTTTTTTTTCATTTTTTTCCGGTGATTAGTCGATATATATATATATACTTTTTGTTTTGTTATTAATAATTAGCATTAATTCAAATTTTCATGGCTAACGAATTCAGATTCGTGCAAAGGAGGTGACCCTCCATGATCTCGACATCGCAAGTGCCTTGTCTGAGTTCATCAGCGCCAACTCAATCAAGACCATTGTTTTAGGTGCATCACACCGAGGTGCCATTGCAAGGTAGAAAGATAATTATGAAAAATTGTAGTATATGCTTCCATAATTCTGTAAAAAGTAATAATCCTAGCGTGCATCAAGTTCTAGAACCTTCTTGATTAATCTTTTGGAATTTCGCATGATTTCTATTTTTCAGGGCATTCAGAAATGCAGATGTTCCGACTTCTGTAGGGAAATATGCACCTGATTCTTGTACAGTGTTTGCCATCTCTAAGGGACGAATGCTCAAAATTAAAACAGCTATCGAGCCTATCCTGGAAACCAATGCCAAGACAAACAGTGGATTGGTGATGTCACCTGATAACTGTGATAACTGTGCAGGATCACCAGTATTTCTTCGGTAAGTAAGCAATGTCGTCCATCTTAACCTTTCTTACATAATAGAATATTGCTATCCCAAAATCTTGGTTCCACATTTTACATCTCTCAGTAACTTTTTTCGCTTATACACACACACACACACACACACACTAGTACAACACCAATGATTACACGGGTGCTAGTTAATTTTTTTTTCTAAATCTGCATTTTGTATGAAATAAATGTGCAGTCAAAATATGTAATTGAGAGCACTATCCTGGAGTCTTACTAACTATAGCTATTGTCTTTATTGTCTTTATTTTCTTAACTAAGCATTATATATGAACTAAATATGCACTTTTTTTAACAACTAAATATGCATTATGTATTACATTAATTAATAATAAAAATTAAAAATTATTATAACAAATTAATTATATAATAAAAAAATATATTGACAGGTTTGACTACCGGCCGCCGGTCAACCAATATATTTATTATATAATTAATTTAAATATAATAGTTATTATTTTTATTATATAATTTGTATAAATTTCAATTGATTAATATGAGTCATTCATGTACACAAATTAATGTCTAGGATTACCCATTATAAAGAAGCGTCCTATTGTATCCACCCCTATATATGTATATATGTATGTATACATGTCCTCATCACAATCTTTCAGTGTGCTGGTAAGCTACCTCTTATAATTCTGAATGATGGGAACTGAATTCCCCATTCCATTTTTCACAAAATTTTTCTGCACTCCATATGAATGCCACGTCTATAATTCAATATGTGCACATGGTCCACAATCTGCTTATTTTTATGTACACCTTTCATGTACCATGTTGAAAAAAGAAATGCAACACCTCGATTTAGATTTTTTATTTTATTTTATTTTACGACAATAATTGTCAATACAACATATGTGTTCCAAGTGTGAAAGATGGACCAAAATCAAGATTTTCTGCTTATGACTGAAACGAACATGTGGTCTTTTAGTTTTTATCTCACTCTTGTTAAAAGCACAATCCCAAGTGCAAAAAATGTTTCTTGTTTGACACATGATCACAAACAATGTGCCTAATGTTTCTCTATTTCATCTCATTTGTAAATTGATGGGTGGAGTTAATCACCTAACTGACATTTCTACCCTCACTCAACTCAAATAACTCCAATCGTAACTCGAACATTGCAGACAGGGTAGCTATCAGAATTCGTACTCTGACCAATCTACCCCTACTGGACTCACCCGCCCAAGACGCTCGCTCGACTACACCTCCAACTCGAGACAGTCGTCCCTCGAAAACTCGAGACGTTCTCTCGAATATGGGCGCTCGACGCCGACCAGCAGCAACACACCTTCCCCGACCAACATAAGCCTCGACTCCACTCCTTTCACAAGCCACAGCAACTCACCCGACCACAAAGCCCCCAATTTTGCCCTAATGCAGTCATCCAATTTTGTGAATCTGAGGGGCCGAGCGTTGGATAGCATGCCTCACTTCTTGTCCGGGTCGAGTGACCCATCGGAGGAGCAGAGTTACCAGTCAGACCTTTCATATGAGCTCATGGACCATTCAAAGCTTTCGGATGCATCTGGGAGCTCGACTGCCTCGGCAGCTGTGAGNCTGATTATTGTGTGGGATTATATGTTTCAGGAGCTAGAGGATGAACTGAGGAGGATGAAATTGGAGTTGAAACAGATATTGGAGTTGTACAATGTGGCTTGCCAAGAAGCTGAATCTGCAAAAGAAAAGGTGTTAAAAAGTACTGATTATGCTATGGAAAAAAAAAAACATAAAAATTTAACTACAAACTGTACCCTTGAGGTTCAGTCTGAAAAGAAAACTCCATGATATTATTTGTAATTATCAATACCCCTTTTGAATTTAATTTTTTACAGTAAACTCCCTGGACTATTGGTTCTTTGTACTTTGCCCACTGAACAACTTCCGTTAACCTCTGACGTATTTTTTTCTGCTTTTGCCTCTTTGTCCCCTGACCCATCTCACATTTTATCATGCAAGTAATTTAATCTTAAGGGAGAGTTTCATTATAACAATTTACAGGTCCGGGAAATTATCAAATGGGATACTGAGAAGGCAAGCAGGCTAGCCGAGGCCAAGCACGTGCACGATGCTGCACTAGCCGTGGTGGAGCGGGAGAAGAGCAAGTGCAAAGCTGCTGTTGACATAGCTCACCGGGCCCAGCACATAGCTGAGCTCGAGTCTGAGAAGAGAAAGAGGGCTGAGTGCAAGTTCCAGCATGAGTCCGAGGAGAAGCAGAAGGCAATGGATGCCTTGGCCCGCTGTGGGGTGCGGTGCAGGCGCTACTCCATAGAGGAAATTGAGGCTGCCACAAACTACTTCTCGCCCTCGGACAAGATCGGCGAAGGCAGTTATGGGCCCGTTTACAAAGGCATGATCGATCACACGCCAGTCGCGATTAAGGTGCTGAGGTCGGATATATCGGAAGGGCACAAACAGTTCCAACAAGAGGTACGTAGTCCTTTTTAAAATGAGTGTATGACTGCATGATTTTTTATTTTTATATTTTTTTTAAATTAAGATGTCTTTTTTTATTATAAACTTATAACCTGAAAATTGACAGAATAAATAAATAAAGTTGATTTTGTGGCTCGTTTTTTACGGAAAGAGTGAGGTCGAACGGTTTGAGACGACTTTTTTTTTTTAAAAAAAAAAATGCAATCTCGATAGGGAGATATTTGTCAACAGAAGTTTAAACCTCAAAGAGGGTACCTCTTGGTTCTAAAATGGACAAATTTCTTTTACACCTTGACTTGAAGATTACACTGAAGTTTTTTACCCCGCAAGCTAACAATATAACTTTTTCACCCCCAGAAAATGCGAAGGTTATTCGAATGGTTCGCATAACTGTCGCCGCATATTCACATTAGAAAGTGCGCGAAGGGTTTATGCGAATGCCTTTGCATTTTTAACTTTCACGCAATGTCAATCGCATAATGCTTTCGCACTTTCTGGGGTAAAAAAGTCAAACTTTTTATCCGGTGTGAAAAACTTATTCATTTTTCAGAACGGGCTGCCTCTTCTGAAAAACAAAACCATAGAGGACTGTCTCTACAAAAAGACCACTAATTTTGGTCAAACCATCTTCTTATTCAACTCAACAGGTGGAGGTATTGAGCCGAATGCGTCACCCGAACATGGTCATCCTCTTGGGCGCCTGCCCCGAGTACGGCTGCCTCGTCTACGAGCACATGGACAACGGATCCCTCGAAGACCGTCTCCTCCGCACACCCCCCCTCCCTTGGCCCTCCCGATTCCGCATCGCAGCTGAGGTGGCAACAGCCCTCAACTTCCTCCACCAAACAAAACCTGAGCCCCTCGTCCACCGCGACCTCAAGCCCGCAAACATCCTCCTCGACCGAAACCACATCGCCAAGATCAGCGACGTCGGGCTGGCCCGCCTCGTCCCCCCTCCCGACCCCTCCACCTCAGCCACACAGTACCGCCACACGGCAGCTGCCGGAACCTTCTGCTACATCGACCCTGAGTACCAGCAGACGGGCATGCTGGGGACGAAATCAGACGTGTACTCGCTCGGTGTGCTGCTGCTGCAGCTGATCACGGCTCGGCCGCCCATGGGGCTGACTCACCTGGTGGGGACCGCCATTGAGGAGGGGAGGTTTGGGGATGTGCTGGATCCGGCTGTTGACAAGTGGCCGATTGAGGAGGCGCTGTGTCTTGCCAGGCTGGCGCTCGGGTGCTGTGAGCTGAGGAGGAGGGATCGGCCGGATCTCGACAGGGTGGTGCTGCCCGAGCTGGAGAGGCTGAGAGATGTGGGGCGCCAGGTGAAGCCGCCTGCAAGGTCGTATTATATGTATATGGCGGAGGATGGTGTGAGCTTTCAGGAGAGCACGGGTTCGAGTCAGGTTAGCCACGTGCAATNAAATAATTAAGGTTATGTTTTGTAAGCCAAATAAGCTAGCTTATAGCTTATTTGGTTAGCTTATACGCTTCATGTATTCAAATAAGCCTTGTTTGGTAGGACGAGCTTTTTTAAAAAGCTCGAGCTTATCTCATAAGCTACTACTTTAGGTAGCTTTTCAAATAAGCTAGTTGAATTTTTTATTTCAGCTAGCTTATCAGCTAATTTTACCAAACACTTTTATCATATAAGCTAGCTTTTCAGCTATAAGTCATAAGCTATAAGCTATAAGCTCAAAAATTACATATAAGCTACTATAAGCTAGCTTATCAGGTAGTTTTACCAAACATAGCCTAAGTCTGCGTGTCGGCATTTCTGGGAGCTACTGCACTTTCTTCGGTTCGACTTATATGTTAGTTGAGATGAAAGGCGGGAAAAAATGAAAGGGAAAAAATTGAAATTGATTTCTCCTCATCATTTTGAAAATTGTTATGGGGCTGTTAGCGAAAATCTCAGTTTAAGACCGTAATGCCACAAATTAAAAATTGTGTCCAAAATCAACGTGTTCATGATCCCCACATTGGTCGATGGATTGGGTAGGAAATGTGTACATGCCCATTTTTCATTCACACTGAGATTTGTTCGAAATTTAGGGTGATTTTTCTGTTTGGTTGTCATTTACAATTCGGATCATTATCACCTTCGCCGATAGATACGGAATGAAATTGCTATTGAGTTGGTCTGCTCATCTTTTCATTGTTGATTTGCACTTAAAAGAAGTGTATTTTCATGTGCAAACAGGAAAGGGGGAGTAGCTTCGAAACAGAACCAGAATTCTAAAGCAAATAAGGGTCCAAAAGCGGGAGCACCACAATGACTACGGAGTTGGATAGTGACAGAAGCACGTATTAAGCGCCAAAGTTAAAAAAGTCGATGAGTGGTTTTTTCAAGCTTCTCACTCGGAGACTGCTGAGATTTTTCTAAACTTCTAATTGATTATAGAAAATGTATAAAGCTTTTAGTCCACAATTTCTAATCAATAATCTCTTACGATATCTTTTTTTTTTTTTTTCTGTTTTTGTTTTTGTTTTTGTATTTCTCCTTTTTATTTGTCAAGTACTGAACATTTGATGAGCTCAGATAAAAAAATGTAGCGGGACAAGATTGTAATATTTTAATATATAGGGACAAAATTGTAGTATTCTTTTGGAGTTTAGCTTAATTACCAAGTTACGGAAACCTCATTTACATTCATCCAACTGAGTAATGAATACACATTGTAATTAAAAAAATAACGAACCATTCCTGAGAAAGGTGAACCAGGGGTAGTTGCTTGTTATTGACTATAAAAATTCTTACATAACCCTGTAGGTGGAGACGTCTGTTGCTTTGTTCAGAGACTGCAATTCTGTAAATTTTGTCCGCAGTCGGCCAGTAGTTAAAAATGAATTCAGGTTTTCCAATGCCCAATATAACGCTTCTGATAAATGTTTTGGAGCCCATAAAGATTGAAACTTATTGTCCATATATCTAAGAGGTTTTCTGGGTCATCATCCAAAAGAAGAAAAAAAAAATATATCTAAGATTAGATTTAGAGAAAAATTTCTTTTATTTTTTTGTTCCAAGGGAAAATTAAGGAAAAAAAAAAGATATTGATCAGGCTTTACCTTAAGTGATATATGTGCGGTGATAGACGAAATTGCCCCAATATCGAATTTCAGATCGATACTTGAGTTCAGGTGACCTGCAAAATACGCCAGAGGAGACTCGACAGAAAAACTTCCTTTTATAAGGAGGTTATCTTCTTACACATATAACCTCATTACTAGGAAAAAGATTTTTTTTTATCTCATTTCTTAGTATAACACGTTTCTGCAATTTTCTATTCCTTAGCGAGATATAGTTATCATCTTAGTAGGACTCTATTTTATTTTTTATGTCTGCCATCATACTCCTTATCAGGTCACTTATACGACCTCCAGGTCATGACTACCTATCCTTTGATTAGGTGCCACCTAGGCGGGATAGACGGTTGTAAAGCTACTCGCGCCTAGACGGTCTTGGCGTCGTCTAGGCGCCCGAATATATTTTTCAAGTCTTTTAATTTATTGTTTTAAAATAAAAACAATAATTGCGCACAAAATTTCATTAACTAGAATTGCACTTTCCTCCTTTATAAGTTTTGATAAATCTAGTTGATAACTTACACGATTATGCTGGTAAAATTAGTTGATAGCTTAAAATACGATTATGCTGGTAAAATTAGTTGATGCTTATAAATGAATTTTGATATTTAGCCATAACTCATCACACGTGTCTTTTCTCCGCCCTTGGTCCCACTGGCAGGAGCCGAAAGGAAGCTCAGACACACCCTCTCGCTCGACAACATTGCAATTCACGGCGAGATACGCTCGTTTGTCACATTAATGCGTGATATTTGGTGCGAAAATGGGGAATCGGAAGCTGAAGTGGACGGAGGAGGAGGAGGTGGCGCTGATGGCCGGAATTGCGAAGCACGGCGCCGGAAAGTGGAAGACTATTCTAGTTGACGCCGAATTTGCGGATATACTCTCCAACCGATCGAATGTTGACCTCAAGGTTTAGCCTGTTCACCCTCGTTGATTTTCGTTCTTTTTTCGGCTCCCTTTCTTCTGCTTCGAAATGCCCCCATTGCTTAAATTCGTGAGGGTTTTTATATTAAATCAAAATTTATGTAATGTTCGCATTTTTCCAATTGCCCAAAATGAAATCTTGGTTTTAGTCTGTTTGGTGCAAAGAGAAAATTCCAGCAAATGAATTCTGCAATTCATGGTTAATTTTTTAAGTTGCTTTTTCTTTCTCTCTTGTTGTTGTTGGGGGCGGGGTGACTTGTCAATTAACGGAACCTTGAAGAAAAATGGTAGTTTTTCATGGTAGTTTTCCCTAGATATTTATACATGGTAGTTTTTCAGTTTATTCAAAGTTGGTGTTTTGGCGAAAAAGAAGAAAAATGATAGATTGAGTTCTGTGTTCTGTGTAGTATAAAATTAGTGAATCATCTGTCTAGAAAATATCTGCAAATTCTTGTATAAAGTAGCAGTATTTCTATCTTAATGGCTACTATCATTGTGAGAGAGTGCAATCTATGTATTTGAACTGAATGTGTATGGCATTAACCATGCTGTTTACCCAATTGATTCGATAAAAATGGCAAACAACAACCTTGGTGAAAATAGTAAACAGTTTGGTCCTTTTCTCGTTTTATCTCAGGACAAGTGGCGGAATATTGGTGCAAACCATGGACAAGGTTCAAATGTTATTACTCCTAAAAAAGGAAGAGCAACTGCCACAAGTATGCAAGAGCTCCAAACTAAAATTTCACCTCATGCTTGCGGCTCCAAAGACAATTCCAATGGCAACTCTCCCCTAAGCCCACGGGAAGTTAATGATGCACCAAAGTATGTGTTGCGTGTTTATAGTTCCAGTGTCCTTATGCAGTTTACTGAGACTAATTAAGTTGTACTGCTAAAGCTTTTCCCAGTGGTCGCGAACTCGGTGTGGATTGGCTAGCTACTCTGGCTTTGATGAAATTTATGTTATCGGTTGATTACAAAATATGTATCTGGAAGGTTCAGTCTAGTTACAATGAAAATCCCACCATCTATTAGAATTATTACTTCCATCCACGAACAGGGAGTTTGCAATGCCGTAAAGGGGAATTTCTAATTTTTAGAAGTGATTTTTAATTAATTTTTTTTTTCCTTTCTCTTGATAATCTCAACTAATGACTTATGTAATACACCTTTATTATTTGAATTTATTCTTGTGAGCCAACTCAGATAACCATTTTATCTATCTTCGATTCTTGTCTGCCTTATATGCTTAAGCTTTTAATATTGTTGCTTTGCCTTAGTATATGTTATTGTGGGTTTCACACATTTGATGACTTCTAAGCTTGTATCTTTGCTTTTGTAAGGGAATTGACACTTTGATGTTGTCTTGCAGTCTCAATAGTATGATCCTTGAAGCAATTTCAACCTTCAAGGATGGAAGGGGATCTGATTTTGGTACAATCCTCGGGTTTATTGAGGTTCTTCCTCTTCCAGTTCAATTGTGTAACCTCACTAAAAAAATATTAAGGTGCACGAGAACAACCATATAAGTGGCTTGCATATTTGTTGACTTGTTTGGTAGTATAATTTCACTATAATGATTTGTTCAGTTGAAACTGAGTCCTGACCATCATAGTCGGGATCTACATGCAGGATAAGCGATGCCATTGTCCCCCCAACTTGTTTCCATTTTCATTATGTATGTAAAAATATTTTTAATATACATAGGCCCTCAATTGAAAACAGGGTCAAATGTTGACAGTTAAACATTTGTACTAAAAAATAGGGAATTGAAAGAATTGTGAAGAGAAAATCTACACAACTCCATCCTGCCTCCTTGTATTAGACGATCTACTAATTATTTTTTAATGACAATTAAATCTTGTAAGTCCTCTGTACCTACTCTTGAATATGATTTAGTTTTTTATCTCTTCTTCGATATACGAAAGGTAAATTGGATATACAAGAGCACTCCTTTATGTAATTTAATGAGGCTGAAATATATCGTATGTGCTGAGAGAAAACCATGGCCTGCAAATTTATTTTATTTTTTTTGCGTTTTTACACTTTTTGGGTTCGAGTCGATCATTAATAGATTTTGTGGCTTCAGAGGGCTATATAACTCTAGTTGTACTGAAGTTTGGAAGCACATATTTTTCCTGTTACCAGTAAATTTGTGGAGTTATTGAAAATTATAGTCATGTCTCCCCCAATAAAATTTTCTGGGTCCGCCCAGGCTATAAGCAGAACGTTTTAAAGAATTTTGGAGCTCCTGGTTGCTTAATTCTCCAGTTACTACACTTAATATTGAAGTCTTGACTATTCATTGTTTTTTTGGGGGTTCCCTTTTTTGCTGCTGGGGACAGAGAAAGTATGAGGTGCCACAAGGCTTCAGAAGGTCACTGATTTCAAAGCTAAGGAGACTTGTTTCACAAGGCACGCTTGAGAAGGTATACTATATCCCCCCCACTTAAATGATATTTTTAAACCTTCAGTGTTTTTTCCAAGTGATCATATGAAGCATATGTTCTTTAACTTTGATGTGTTTCTTGTCAAAATTCAATTTGTTGAACCTGAGTAAGTGGCTAAGTGCATTTAATGCCATCAGAACTAGCCCACTTGAGTTATATATTATGTCAAAGTCTGTATATTCTCTTGTACCCCAAATACATCCACACACTTGTTTTAGCAAGAAGTTGACTTTTATATTGGCTTCCAGAAAGAACTTCTCTCGCTCCCCCCTTTTTCTCTGATAATTGCAGATTCTACCTCTGATATTAAGTCCACTTACTAAAAAGATTCAGTTTTTTCTTTTTTAAGTAATTAGTCGTACGAATTCAACCCCATCAGTATGAGCATTTTCTTTTAAGTGCCATTAAATATTAGGGTCAATCTATTTTTAAGTACAATCCAATTTGCCCTCTAATTACGCTGAAGGTCAAGGCTTTTAATTTTAATTATCCCTCTTTTTTCCGCTTTATGAGATAGTAAGTTAAGAATGCTGCTCTGAGTGCTGGCTTTATTCAATGTTTCTTGCACGGACTAACAGAATCAGCTTTACCAAAAAAAGAAAAAAAGTTAATAATAATAACTGATAAGAAACTATACAGGTCAAAAAACGGTACAAGGTGAAAAGTGATGCTTCGGGTACCCATGCAACTGCGCCAAGACAAAAGCATGTTTGGCCAAAGCTATTACAAGAGACTTGTTGGCAGATTAATTCACCCCAACTTGAAGATGCTGCCAAAAGTGCTGCCCAAAAAATTGCAGAGGCCGAAAATAAAGCCTTTGTGGCGGCAGAAGCAGTTAGAGAGTCCGAGAGGGTCTCCCAAATGGCTGAAGATGCAGATGCTATGCTCATGCGACTAAAAGAAATTTTTGAACAATGTAAGTTTGGCTTCTTTTATTTTTTTAATTTACAAAAGTGCCTCTCAAGATCTTAAAAGGAATAATTACCTTACAAAATTGCTTATGTAACCTGGCATTTGGTACTTCCATATGAATTTATTATATACAACCTAGGAGTATAATATTTTTCGGGTAGCTACAAACCTTCATGGGGACTTTTTGCAATCTTGAAAAGGAAGTTTTGAGATTGGAAGAAATAATAACATCTCTTTTCTATAATTAGGCTGAAATACGAAGGTACTTTTTGCACGTGTTATTATCATTAGTATTTTCTTTCATCCACAACAACCTATTGTGTAAATTTTGCATTTATTTCTGGTATATCAGGGGAAGATCAGGATGGTGCAGCTGATAAATGTAAGCAATTTTTTTATACTTTTGCATAATATTACTCGACCACCCAATATCGTTCTTTCAATTTTTTTTTATTTTTTTATTTTCGTTTTCAGGTTCTTCCGAACTCATCTTCGTGGTGTAACTTATATCTTGTTTGATAGAGAAAGATTAATTGTTAGCTAGAACAAGTCAACCATAAGGGGCTAGTTTTTGTTAGCTAGAAAAAAGTCAACTAGCCAACAGTGTGGCTGATCCACATCATGTATCATCAGCTTATATTGGCATTTAAAATTTTGTACATTCTGGAAGTCCATATTGTTAATTTAGATAGTGACTCTTGAACGTTCAGTTCATTTGTTCAGTACTTTTACTGTTTTAATTATTTACTGTTATAAATTACTGAATGATTTATATGTAGTTGGGTTTTGATTTATATCACCCCAATATTATCACAATACTATTCAAGTCTTTCTACATATATCAGTGCTAGACTCAATGTTTTAAAATTTAAATAATACCATGCAAGCCACAATATTGGTAATATTGAATGCTGGTCAATCGGTACAATTATCTTCAAAATAATATTTGCCCAAAATACCTATCGTACTAGTTTATGCTGCAAGTTATGTGTTATATTGAAATATACCAACCATTTACCTGGTAAATACAGGATTTGTAAATTTTTGTTTTGTATACTTTTATATTTTATTCAAAACTTTTATATAAATCTAAAGATAAAAGTTTAATGTTAATAAGCTTATATCCTTGTTCGATTTTTAGTTAGTTTTAATATTAATTAAATTGATATATAATTTATGATATGGTAATAAAATTAATTTAGATTTATTAATACAAATAAAATAAAAGGTAAAAATAATATTTTTTTTTTTTTGCAAAAAGGTAAATTTAATTTAATGGTTGGTACCAATAGTATAATTACTGAGAAGCATAATTTAAAACGTTGGCTACACTTGCCTACCCAAATGGCAAAGGATTTATCAAATGTAG